TATATATATATATATATATATATTATATATATATATATAGTATTTGTTTTATATAGTTTATTTGGGCTCTCGTCTACCTATATATACAATGATTGATTACTTACAGGACTATGTCTTTGCTGTGTATTGGACTTGAGCTATATTGAAATTGGAGACGGTGATTAGGTCAAGTTGTTTTACGATTTGCGTGAGACGTGATTTCCCTGCCGAAGATTGAGAACCCTTACGGGTACGACTGGGAAACCTTACGGGCACAAATAACATCACGTACATCTTTGGGGCTCGGTACTTAATCAGGCGTGCCCGAATTGTGAGGGGTGATGTGAAACTTGGTTCCTAATGTTGAGAAACGGTGGATAAAGATTTGATACGAGAAATATAGGATGAAAAGGGTGAATGCCGGTGGGTAAAGAAGGAAATATAGGATAGGGAAGTGTATACTTCCCACGTCCTATATATACTGCCTTGAGCAGTATAAGATATGACTTTGGAGTAGGAAGTAAGGCAGCATTAATTAGTTATTACTCGTAGAGTAATTACTCGGAGCGCATAGCTAGTGCTGCTCTTATACTCCACTCTTAAGTCCACAATACTATATGGAAAAGTATCTGCTATATTAGTGTTTGTTTCTATAACTACTGAAAGTCCCCACCGTTTGGAAGTGGGCTCGGTAGAAAACATCTATTGAAGTATCGGTTGGCAGCGGTTACGGTCTTGATCGACCGATATGGTGGATGCTTGTTCAATGCTCATGAGTCCAACGATGAGGTCGTCTGGTACTGGCAAGCTACAAAGATTCTGAGCCAACCCGCGGCGGAAAGCGTGCCATTGTACGTGCTGAGTTTGTGACAAGTGCCCTGCTGATGCCCGCCCGATGAAAATATTCCCGTATGATGAGAATACTCTTGTGATTATGCAGCTGGTTGATACGTAGTGGTATGACCTAGAGCGCCGCAGGTAAACACAATTCCTGTACAAAGACTCTGAGCCAACCCGCGGCGGAAAGCGTGCCATTGCACGTGCTGAGTTTGTGACAAGTGCCCTGCTGATGCCCGCCCGATGAAAATATTCCCGTATGATGAGAATACTCTTGTGATTATGCAGCTGGTTGAGACGTAGTGGTATGACCTGGTGCGCCGCAGGTAAACACAAATCTCGAGAACGCGAATGTGCTGGCGTCCAATGTTTTTGAAATTGTCTTGAGAATGCTTGACCGGTCTTCACGTTTATTCTTGCGGAGATCCACGTGAATTGTACGGTTGGCAGGTGTGAAAGCGATCGAGTCCGGACCAAATGTTTCGTTTGAATCACGTCGGGCACCAACAAGTCAGAATGTTGTGATCAGCGCACGAAATTCCGGATCGATCCAATCGGCTGGAATCTTCGGTTGATCGACCGTTGACTTCGAGTGATGCGAATTCCACATAGATACGTAATCTTGGATGGCCTGTGTCCTTTGTCTGTCGAGGAGAACTGGTTGTCCCTGTGCGTGTGCGGTGCTGTTGATCGCTGCTCGTTCTGGCGTACTTGGTCTGGGTGGTGTCCCTTATAGAAGCAGTATTGCAGGAAACTGTGTAAATATTCATAGGACGGTAGTTGGGCAAGAATTCGGTTAGCTGTGTGGTACTCATGCCAGATCCTCATCGCATGTGTATAAATGTTGCGTGTGCCTTCGGTCAGGCCACCACTTGCTATCTGTTGACACAGGAAGTCTAGTGCAACAGTGGAGTTGGTTTGCTGCCCGGTGGTTCGTATAGAACTACGGCGTATAGGCGTGTGGGAGGATAATCTATACCCAGCTCGTTGGCGATGTGATTGGGATAGTGTACGGCACCTTGCTCCAAAGTAATTCGGTCGGATGTATTGCGACGAATGTGTGGCCACCAAATTGCCCGTTTCCATACTGGGACTATTATTTCCGCCTTCTGGAGTTGTTTGTCTAGTTGAGAGAAGATTTTGCCCAACATTGTTTCCGGTGTAGCCAGAAGTTCGAGAGATTGTTCCCATTTGTTGTGGTACGGCGTGGTAAAAGTATCGTGTCCCTGGTGTGCTTTGCTGAAGTAATAGCTGGCTGGGTATTCTCTCCTCGACGGATCTGGCCGAATCTGCCAGCTGTTGAATATATGGAGTATATCGGACGAACGCACGGTCCAGCGGTACTCTAGGATCTTCCCCATCCGGGAGAGATCGTCGGTCGCCAGGCTCAGCTTGCCCAGCATATACCCCAACGATACCGGCCACATCACTGACTGCAGATGACAAATATGGAGTATATCGGACGAACGCACGGTCCAGCGGTACTCTAGGAGCTTCCCCATCCGGGAGAGATCGTCGGTCGCCAGGCTCAGCTTGCCCAGCATATACCCCAACGATACCGGCCACATCACTGACTGCAGATGACAGAACCATACTTACCTCCGTAGCTGTGCATTCATTAGCTTTGATTGATTGCACCGCTTTCTGAGTGCGTGTAGGGCGGTGCTGGAATCTGTCAAACATAGTAGTGGTATGACGCCGATACCTTGACTTTTGTGGCAGTATTCGTACGCTAAAACGAGTGTATTTACTTCTAAAACTGCTATTGGCCATCGTTGTTTGGTCGATCTCCATACGCCGACAAACACCGTTGTCGTCTCCTGGTGATGTAAGGATGTGCCGAGTCCTATCTTGGATGAATCTGAGGTGATTGTTGCTTGATGATTCGGCAGCCATATCTTTCGGGATTGGAATATCGAAATTAGCAGATTCACTTTCTCTATTTTCTGGAATGCTGCGCCAGATAGACAGACCTGGATTCCTCTGTTCCACAGCTGTTGCAAATCCGCGATGAAAGGCCGCAATCTGAGAGTGGAGAAGCTTGCCCGCTGGAGGCAACCTCAGTATGATTGCCATATTTGGTTTTCACTCGTCGCTGGTTGCGTAGGCCTTGCGTTCTGATTTGACTCCCCAGTAACAAGAGCTTTTCTTTGAGCTGGCGGTTCATTTCTATGCTGTTCTTCTCTAGATCGATTATGACTCCCAAATGCTGTAGCCGAAATACTGGGGTTATACAATATCCCTTGAAAGACGCTAGAGTAAGGATTAGAGAGGCCAGGAGTCGATATATAAATTTATTGTGTTTCCATAGTCGGCGTCGACGCCCCACGAAAAGTTATAGGTCGTCGACAGAAAGTATTATCCGTAATCCCTTGTCCCGTGTGACCTTGCGAAATACGTCTATTAGGTTGTTAAACAAATAGGGGCTGAATGTTGCCCCCATTGGTAGTGCTAGAAAGCACCATAAATCCCCCTTGTTGTCCCTGAACTGCCAATACCTCGGCTCGGCCACAACCAACGCATAGAAACCGTTATTTACGTCGGCCGACATAGATGCATCCCCCGGGCGGGCAACTTCTGACAGTCGTTCCAAGCCTTCCACGCGAAAGTGTTGCTTCTCCGCGTGTTGGTTTATATTGGTTGGGCTGAGTATTAGCAGTTCCCTGATCCCGTCGGATTTGGGGATCACGAATACCGGATAAATCAGATAAGCTTCTGATTCCTGACATCTGCGTATCACCCCCGCCTTCTGTAGTCGCATTAGTTCCGTCAAAATCATATCGTCCGACGCCTCCGGAACACTGATACATCTACCCTGTTGTGATGGCGCTGGAGCGCCTTTCGCCCACCATGCTGGTCGAGCTCCGTATTTGATTGCCTGAAGTAGATATTTTGGGCGTCTTGTGCCTTCCATACTGGGAGAGCTTTCCTAACTTGGAGGTACAGAGCAGGCTTACATCTAGGGCTTGTCCGGTTTCTCGTTTGAATCACCCTTACAATTGTCTTCGGCAGTCTTATCGGCCTTGGTTCTACCTTCCCTCTGACAAGACTCAATTTGTGCTGACTTTTCTTTGCGGCCTTGACTAGTCCAACAATGGTGGTATTGTTATTGTAGGTGGGACGCACTTCATTCTCTATCACGTGAGCGAGAGCTGGCCCCTCCTGAACGCGAATGCGTATCAATTCTGCAGCACGTACCTGATCTTCAATGACTTCCAAGATGAGTCCGATGTACGCTTGTTCTCGATGATTGGGTTGAAACCCACCCAAGTGAATTTGCTTGAGACCAAAGGCTAGATGATTGGCCCAGGTCAGGGGTACTTCAATTCCTTTTGAACTCACTCCTGTTGACCTCGATACCAATCCGGCACATCGATTGGATTTCCCTTCAGTCCCTTTGGGAACTTTACTTCCCGGATTCAAGATGAGTTATTAATGCCCTTGGGTCTGCCGGTACTCCAACCCCCCATAGAATCCTTATGACACTCGTTTATAATCGATATGCACTCTGTAGTAGTAATTCCTGCTATAGGTACCCGGAGTTCTACTATGTACTGACTCGGGTCCCTCCTTAAAGGACGCGTACCCTTGTTGCTCAATATGATCGAAGATATCTTCAGCAGCTTGTCTTCGTTGAGCATGAGTTAGTCTAGATGGATTGGTTCCGTCTGCCTCTTCATGTTCCACGCGATTGTCGTCTGCCATTTCGATGATATGGTTTTTGGTAGTTTTTTTCAGAGGGGCCATGCTTCTTAACGATGTTATTCGTAAAGAAGGAAATATAGTATGAGGGAAGTATATACTTCCCATGTCCCATGTATACTGCTTTGAGCAGCATAAGATAGGACTTTGGAGTAAGAAGTAAGGCAGCATTAATTAGCTGCTCCGAGGTATTTATTCCTAGAGTAATAGCGCATAACTAGTGCTGCTCTTACAATCTAATTTCAAATTCACACCCCTA